CTGGCCTCAGCAACCCACGCCTCCACCAGCTGCAGCCAGGCCTGGAGACTCTTCTTGGAGGCTCCTGCAAAACAACCCGCCTCTTTTCTGGAAGAAGGAAACAGCAGGGGGCCTGATGAAGTTTCCCGAGGGAGCACTGGCCTATGCGATGTGCTTCGAGTATAATGGGTCTCTAGTTCTCATCCACTTCTGTTTCAGCTTTTTTTCTCCCTGAGCCTAGTGTGAACAGGAAAGCTGCCTGGGTTCTGAGAGTCAGCACCTGCTGTCTTGAAGCCACTTCCTCTAATACCAAGAGGAGGAACAAGGCAAGGAATTGCAGAGACAAGCAAACTATTAGGTGTGATGGGCACGACTCGCAGATTCTTTTTGGTAGACGCTTGAGATGGGAGAGGCTCAGCCAGGCTCCTATAACATCGCTCCAGGTTATAATGAAAGCAAGTCTCAAACCAAATTGCCCCACACGTGCAGACACGTATGGAGCAAACACTCGTCGACAAGCAGGCACAGAGTGGTACATCTGAGTTTGTTCGGTAGCTCAGTGAAGCCCCAATTGTCTGTGCTGTTAGGAGCGTCCACCACCAGCTCCCATGGAAGGTGTACTCGAGGGAAGCATGTCAACTTGCCAGGGCCTGGTTCCGGCAGCCTTGGGCAACCAGAAATCCTCCGAATTGTATCTGGACACAGGACCATTTAGAGACCCAGCCTTCCCCATGCCCAAGAGCACGCGGGCTAAGGACCTTGCTAGTCTTATGCTCTATTTATTAAGGGCAGGATAGCACTAAATATTTGAGCCAGTTAATGGATCTTGAATACTTTTTATTTCACCAACGAATACCTGTTTCTCCCATTCATCATGCTTAGGAAAAAGCTGATAATTTCACCATTTTTTTTCTCATGTTGGTGAGCATGCCGGGGGCATCCACGGCGAGACAGGGAGCAGACGTCTTTCGGGCAGCTGCATCTGGAGCGTAGCCTTCCTAACATGTGCACTGACCACCCCTGGGGTGGGATCCTCAGTCACGGCCCCAGAGCAGAAGTTCAACTCCCCGGACGTACGCTGTCCATCCAGAAAGATTGTAAAGTATCCATCCCAGAGCCCCCGGAGCCCCAGACCCTGGAGGGATTACCCTGTGTGTCTGGGACTTACGTGGGCACAGCTGGAGGCCAACCACAGGGCCACAAGGTCACAACCCGACCCGGTGCCGGGAATGTTACCCACGTCCTCACCAGAAGGAGATTCACAAAATGGCGCCATGGACCATGTCCACCTCGAGATGGGCCTTGTCGCCAGACTGTTTATAAGCCTTCAAAATACTTGCCAACATTTAATGATTGAGAGATTTTACATTAAAATGAAGATTCCTGCTTCTCCCAGGAGACTGGAAGTTTTGCCCACAATGGGTCTGGACGGATGCTGAGAAGTAGACTCCTCTCTAGACAGAACACACTCACCCGGGTTCCCGTGTCCCCCAGTTTCCTAGGTTTGCCCTGCTCCCCTTCCCTCCTTTGCGTTCCCCACCGCCTCTGTGGACGGCCACTTTAAACCGATGGGTTGACGTCGGCTCCAAATCTACCTGCTCGCAGGACCCTCCCCGTGTCAGTCACGGCAGGAGCCTGAGTGAGCTCTTCAGAACTGACACGAGTTTCTACAGGCACCTCCTGTGCCAGCTGCTGGGGCAAATGGCACGTCATGGGCCCCATCAGAGAAGGGGACCCCAGAACAAAGAAATGCTCCCTGGAAGGAGGGAGTGACTGATGGGGGCCCTTGGGGAGCCCTGGTCCTGGGCTCTGCCAGCAGTGGGTACCAAGGACATCATGTTAATAGTAGCAGGTGAAATGTGCTGCCGTCCAGCCGCCTCTGCATGACCCCTGGCCTCTCTCCCCCAGTCACATCTGGAGTCCTGTGGGGCGTGGCAGAGAGCAGACCGTCTACCCGCTCTGTGCTCCACCCACCACCTCCCCCAGCAAATCAGGTCAGACAGCTGAGCCTGGGGACCTCTGTTTCAGATGTGTGTCCAACGCCAAGCCCCAGTTCAGGCTCACTGAGACCTCGGCTGCACTTCATCTGGTATAATGTCCCTACACCAGCCATTCATGTGCCACCTCTGTGAATTTCACCATAGCTGCGTCTTATTATTATTTCATATTTTATTTAAATGTGTTCACTTTTTAAAACTTTTTGTCTTAGAGCCAGCCCTGATGGCCTAGTGGTTAAAGTTCAGTGTGCTCCACCTCGGTGGCCCGGGTTCGGTTCCCAGGTACGGAACCACACCATGACACGGTCTGTCAGTAGCCGTGGTGTGGTGGCAGCGGCTCACAAAGAAGAACTAGAAGGACTTAGAATATACAGCTATGAACTGGGGCTTTGGGGAGGAAAAAAAAAGAGGAAGATTGGCAACAGATGTTAGCTCAGGGTGAATCTTTCCCAGAAAAAAAGAAAAAAACGACTTTTTATTTTGAAATAATTTTAGATTCATGAGAAGTCACACTAACAGCACAGATGGTTCCTGTGGACCCCTCACTCAGCGTCTTACATGACCAGAGTCCGCTGTCAAAACCAGGAAGCCGACGCTGGCAGGATACACGGAGCCAAACCTCAGACCTTATCTGGGTTTGCCAGTTTTCACCTTCACTCCTCTTTCTTCCTTGGTGTGTAATTGCATGGGACTCGCTGCACACGTAGGTTCACGTAACCAGTCAGGAATACAGATGGCGCCACCACCCTAAAGACCCTCCCTCATCACCTCTTCGTAGTCACACCTTCCACAACCCCAAACCCTGACAACACTGCTCTGTTCTCCGTCTCTGTATTTTTGTCATCTCAAGAATGTGACATAATGAAAAATCAATTCGCTTTTCTCATTAGGTCGTTTCTCACATGTACGTGATATGGTGGAGTTGGTGTGCCGGTCGTGTTTGTCCTAACACACGTTGACATGAATACGTGGCCCTTAAACAGTGTCCACGCTCTTCCGCAAGCCACCTCATGTCCCCACTCACCACCGCGGGCCCCGGGCAGCATGTCGGGATGACCCAGGGAGCTCTAGGCTCTTCTGATGCCCTCCACGCCCGAGGCCAGGGGGTTGGCAGCTGCTCCTCTGAGACCTGCCTGTCCCCCAGGGCCCTCGGCTCTGCCCTGGGACACACTCACGACTTAGGGCTGAGCTGGGGGAGCCGGAGCCCTTGGCCTGGAGGCAGTGACGTCGCCGTCCTGCTCTGGGGCCAGAGCTGCTCCGGATCGCGTGCGTCTCCCTGACGGGCAGGCCTGGGCAGGATGCCCATCTGGCCCTCTCCACATTCCCCACCTGTGCCCAGGAGCACCCAATTCAGTCCTCTGCCTTCCTCGGTGGAGACAGCTATCACAGCCAAGCTCATTCAGCTTTTTAAAAGTAGAATCCTGCAGATTTTTTTTTAATGAATCGAAGAAATTAATTATAGGTTTGGGATTTGTTACGTTTATTTTTAGAAATCCGTGATCTCAAGCATAAATAGCACTTCATTCTGAACTAAGGAGCTGAGAAGCTTAATGCCAGTGGAGTGGGGAGGAGGAAGAGGAGGAGGAGGATGCAGAAGGAGGGGAGGGGGGAGGGTCTATTGCTGAGTCAGGTTGAGGGCCCGTCCGGCCCTGTCCCTGCTCTTGCCGAATCCCTGTCTGCACACCTGTATTAAACCCAGCATCTGTTGAGGTCCTATTCAGTGCCAACGTCATTCCCAGTGCTGGGGACACAGCAGGAAAGACACAGACACAAATTCCTGCCCTCACAGAGCTGACATTTCAGTGGGAAAAGCAGACAATATACAAAATTAATAATACAGCCAGTGGGGGTTTCCATTTATCATCGAGTGAGGAACGGAGACAAGGCGGGACTCCACACAGACGAAACTGGCCACCACTACAAGTACACGATGCCTGGTTCACTTTCATTGACACCTACTGTGTGCCTGTTCTGTACAGAGTATTGAGAGTATCAGGAACCAGACAACAAAGACTTGGAGCTTACCGTCCAGTCCTGGAGAGACGAGAGATAATCAGGGGCTAATACAACGTTGGGGGGTGGCTAAGCACCATGAAGAGGACACCGCACGGTGAAGAGGCAGAGGGACCCTCGATACGCGCCCCCTTATGCGGGCGCCCACCTGTGGACGAGTGCCTGACACACTCGTCACGGGAGACAGAGCCTTGCTTCTGCACCAGGAGGGGGAGTGTAGTCCGTGAGTGTCTGTGAGTCCCTGGAGAGGAGAGAGGGGCTTGCTTATGCCCACTCAATCTGAGAACCAGCCAGGCAGGAGCCGCAGAGACAGGAGGGAGCTGGCGGGGCCACCCTTCCCTGACATGTGTCCCCGAGGGAGACTCCCGCCCTCCCTGGTGCTCCCGACATGCCTCTGGATTCCGCAAATGGCAGCAGTGGTACTAACCAAGTCCAGCAGATAGAAATTCGCGTCTATTGCTAAAACCATGTTCTTTGGGGTTTTGCAGCACGAGCGGCACCAGCCCCCAGGAGAAAAATGCATCAGTGAGTTAGCAACTGAGCTGTTCCCCCACGTCCAGGCTGTGTCACAGTCTCATACTCCAAATTTCAAACAGCTCTGGTGAGGCATGCCAACCTCAAAGTGCCCGGGCTGCACACAGAGCCCAGAACAATCCGCTGTTGGCTGGGATCTGAGTGTTTGCAGGATTTCTTGGCACCTGTGGTTTCCCACGCTCACCCTGTGAGGGAACTCAGCCGCCAGCCAGGCTGCACAGGCGCATGTGTTACCACTGTTCTCCTGGAGGTAGGAGGCAGCGCCTGCCACACACATGCACACACGTGTGCACACACACAGTACATGTGCACACACACACCAAATATACACTCTCATGTGCGCACGTACACATGCCTACAATGCACACTCACACATACACACAGTACACATGCACACACACACCACACACTCTCACACGCACGTCCCCACCACCCAGCACCCCCGGCTGACCTCATGTCCGTGCCTCTCCCGTGCAGTGCAAGGTGCGAGAGCTGGAGGAGAAATGCCGGACGCAGAGTGAGCAGTTCAGCCTGCTGTCCCGGGACCTGGAGAAGTTCCGGCAGCAGGCGGGCAAGATCGACCTGCTAGGCGGCGGCTCTGTGGCCTCCTTGGATGTCCCCACATCCCCCAGCAAGCCTTTCCCGCAGTTCATGAACGGACTAGCCCCCTCCCTCAGCAAAGGTAAGTGGTGGAGAAGGGTCGCCAGGGAGCTCCACACGAGGTCGGTGTCTGTCTGATGGCGCTCTCCCCGACGAAGGTTAACCCGACACACAGGTTAACGGGTGGCAGTCCTGGTTATATCCATCTGTTTAAAAAGTTGATTTTTTTTTAATTTAGAGGAGATGAGTGTCAGAACCCCACTTTGGAATTCCACAAAAGAGAGAGAACTTCTAAATTTCTCCGAGTTCTTATCAGATATATGATAAGCTCTTTTTTGTGTGTGTGTGAGGAAGATCAGCCCTGAGCTAACATCTATGCTAATCCTCTTTTTGCTGAGGAAGACTGACCCTGAGCTAACATCTACTGCCAATCCTCCTCCTTTTTTTTCCCTTTTTGTGCCCAAAGCCCCAGTAGTTGGTTGTATGTCATAGTTGCACATCCTTCTAGTTGCTGTATGTGGGACGCGGCCTCAGCATGGCCGGAGAAGCGGTGCGTCGGTGCGCGCCCGGGATCCGAACCCGGACCGCCAGTAGCGGAGCATGCGCACTTAACCGCTAAGCCACGGGGCCTGCCCCTCATTTTGGTGCTTTTTATCGTTAAAGCAAGGTGGTGCTGCTCGTATCTTGATAAATTACATTTTCCCTGCTTACCCCCTTCCCACGTCCTTCCCTTCCTGCTCATGCATTAGCTAGAGTGCTAAGGGGCTATGGCAACAAGACAGAGGGAACAGAAGGTCTGAATGTCCCCCACACACATCTGAGCACACGGTGCACCCAGGCCGTGTTCGAGGTGTGAGGCTGTGATGTTAAGTGGATGGCCAGACCTCTTGTGGGTGGAGGCAGACAAGAGACAAGTGGACAGATGGATGACCAGAGGGCCTCCCACCAGACACATGTGTAAAGACAGGTGATGAGATAGAAAGTGACCCAGCGCTGCTTAGAGGTGGTGTCCAGGGAGGACCACCTCTGGGAAATGACGTTTGAGCTGTGAAACCTGACAGGTGAGAAGTGGTAAGACAGTTTCAGTTCTTACTAGACGAAAAAGGAGTTTTTGGTTGAGTGGTCATATGAGGTTGGCCAACGCGTGGTTTTCAAGGTCCCTAAGCCCCCAGCACAACCGATGATTCCAGGACTCAGTGTATAGTTGAGCTCATGGCTCAGATCTATTACAGAGATGGGGATGGGGACACAGTCGGATCATAAGGGAAAAGAGACGGGCACGTCTGCAGGAATCCACGTGCAGGAGTCCCTCCCGCAAGGGCCACACAGAGCACCCGCTGAGCATTGAAAAATGCAGCCACACGTGTGCAGTGTTGCTCCTTAGGGATGCCCACTAGAGACACGGTGCCCAGGGTTTCATGGGGGGCTGGTCATGTAGGCACCTCTGCCTGGCAGGCACCAGAGTTCCAGACTGCCAGAGGGAAGGCAGGGCCCAGCATAAACCACGTTGTGGACACAGCCTAGTTAATAACGAAATACCCTCATCAGTTAGGGAACATTGTAGAAGCCGAGTCCCCGGGTGCAGCCAGGCCCATGCTTGCAAGCAGGCCCTTCTAACAACGGGTCTCAGCCTGCTCTGTGAACTCTTCCGCGCAGCACATCAGTGTTCTTCCAGGGAAAGCTCGCGGGTGGGTGGAAGGGGAGCAGTGATTTATCCGAGAGAATCGGTGTCGAGATTGGCCTGGAAAAAGGGCTCTGACTCACGATGATGGAAAACGGACCTGACTAAGAACAGAGCAAAACAGGACTGCGTCTACACTAAGCTAATCGCTCGGATCCTGGTAGCAGAGCAGGTTTGTACCAAGGCTTCCGTTTAGCCATTGGGGAGATCGTCATCCTAACGGACCCAGCTCATGTGATTCATTGCTACCTCGCCCCACTCCGGGCCCCTGGGGTCAGGGCCCTCGAGCACTTAGCACCATCCTCGCTGTGTTGGCATTGCTTATCGGTGCACGGGAAGAATGCCTACGAGAGAGCTTCCTCCTGCAATCCTGAAATCTCCCTCTCCCTGACTGCAGAGGGCAGGGGCGCCTTTAAGAGTGAGCAACACAGGAGAACTCGGCCGCTGGGCTGGGCTTTCCTCTCCACGGATCTGAGGGCAACAGGAACAGGCAGGGCCAGCACAAGACCAGAGACTGACCCGGGCAGATGTGTGCTCTCCCCTTAGCTCCCTCCCGCCTGAGGCCGGGTGGCCCCGAGGTTGAGGAGGACGATAAAGGGTTGATCAAGAGCCCCCAGGGGACTCGCGTTCTGTACAGTGGAGTCACATCTGACAACAGAGAAGGCGACAATTGCACATGGACGCAATTATCCCTGGACTCTCCCAGGAAGGGAGCATGCTGGAAAGAGGCACGCCACCTCCCGGGACCACCCCCTGCACAGCCAGTTTTCCTTCCAGTATTGGAGCGGGTTTTGGTGACGCTCCAGGTAAAGTCGTTGGTTTGGGCTTAGCGGCCATATTTTCCAGAAAATATGACTCTTTAACCATTCAAATCACAAGGGTGCAATGTTCACACCACACGGGGCCCACAGGAGCCAGTGCTGCCCAAGGGCACAGCCTATTTCTGCCTCTAATCTCACATCCACTCGGAGTAGGATAGCAGGGAAAATCCGCCACGCTAATTAAATTATTTTCCTCTAGAGAGTTGGACTGTATAAGTTACATGTGAATACGAGGTGACTCTGCTATGTTCATTTCCCCTTTATTGGTTACGTCATCCCACACCATTCACTGAGCCGTGTATCAGTCAGGGTGGGCCAGGTTCTGCTGCAGTAATAAACATCCCCCAAATCTCCCGGGTTTAAACAGCCACGTCTATGTCTTGATTATGCTCCTTGTCCTTCTCAGGCTGGCTTAGGGAATTGGCTCCACCTTATCTTTACTCTGCAATGCTGCAAACAGAGCCTCCTCTGTCTGGAATGTTCCGTTGCAGGGGAAAGGAAAAAGCAAATTACACACCGGCTCAGAAAGGCTTCTGCCCAAAGCAGGACATATCACTTCCACTCACAGGTCACTGGCCCGGACACGTCCCGTGCAGGGTCCCGCTCCTCCATCGCCCGGCGAGGAGAGAGGAGCAGTGCTGGTCTGCAGCCGGGCCTGCTCTCAGCTGCTTTCCTGAGGCCTACGGGAGTCGACTCATTCAACAGATGCTTACTTTGCACCTGCTGAGGGCGTTAAGGTATACAGCGGTGCGCAGAGCTCAGCCCTGCTCTCCGGGCTCTGGTATCCCAGCAGGAGCCCGTGTCTATTGCAGCGTCAGTTCCCTGTCTCGGTGGAGTGTTCTCGCTGTTTCCTCGGTCAGGCTGGAGCCGTGGGGGCTCTCTGGCGGGTGACTTCTGCACAGCCGTTGTGGGAACTCTTCTCACACTGTTTTGAATCACATTGTGTTTCCTGATTTGGACTCAGTAAGTCGTATTCTTCAGGGAGGCAGTGCCAGGATGTGACGGCTACAGCCGGGGAGGAGCATCTTCCGCCCGCTGCGTAGCTGAGAAAGCAGGGAGGGGAAGAGCTGCTTCTGCATTTCACATCTGGAGCCTAAAAAGAATGCCCGACTTTAATCTGACCGTCGAGGCCAGCGCTGGTCAAAGAGCTCAGGGCTCCCTCCAGGCGAGGGCAGCACTGAGAAGCCCTCTCAACCCTGTGAGGACAGGAGGGCAGAGAATTATTTTAGTCCTTGTAAGTCTCTTACCAGAAGTATTTTTAGCTATAAACCTGGCCCTTTGGCCAATTTGTGTATAAGTTAGGACTCTTGGTCATAAGTGACAGCAAAGCCTGGTGTGAGCAAAAAGGAATTTATTTTTCATCTAAGATAGATGAAGAGCCAGTAGGTTTAGCTTCAGGAACAGCTGGATTCAGGGCTCCAACGATGTCACCAGGATCCAGTTCCTCTCTCTCGCTTCATCCTGTCCCTCCTCTTTCTATGAGCAGGCTCCAGTTTCTGACAGACTTTCCCCCTTCTGGTGGTGATATGGCTGCAGCATCACTGAGCCTCATATCCTCTCAATATTAATACAGGCCAAGGGAGAGCCTCTTTGCCAACGGCTCCCACTAACTTCCCTCTGATTGGACCTTCCCATCTCACGTGCAACACCGCCATCACTGCCAAACAATGGTTATAGCCGGGAGTGGACTCTGTCAGATGGATGGCACAGAGCAGAGGTGGGGTCAGACCAGCCTGTGTAGCTTGAGAGTAGGAGATGGGTGGATCCCAAAATAAAAAACCCCGGGCTGATGCCCCTGAGGGGAAAAGGCACACTGAGAAGGCAAATGACCAACGCACTTTTATTATTTCATTTGTGTCTTTTTCAAATTGTTTTGATATTCGTGGCCAGGTCAGGAGAGCACTATTGGAAGCCGCACTGCCATTGGTGAATATATCCGGCCCCTCACGCTCTCCGGTGACAAGCCGGAGACTCTGTCTGTCAAGCCCACCTTTCTGTCAAGAGCCGGGAGCCCAAGATGCAGATTTGAGTCAGAGGTGAGTCCTGTCCTGGCAGAGGGCCAGCCGGCCTGCCTGTGCCGTGGTGTGTGGGGTGGACATTGGCCATCCTCCCTCAGTCTATCTTCCCCATCCTCCTCCTCTTTCTTCTTTCTCCCCGCTTCTTCCCTCACTCCCATTAATTCCCTCAACCCGTCCTCACTGACCCCCTGCTATGTGCCAGGAAATGAGGGGCCCCACAAACAGACAGGTGAGGTCCCTGCTCTCATGGAGACGGTGTTCTCCTGGGGAGATAGATCATAAACAAGTCAACACTTAAAAAGTTGGGTAACAGTGAGTGCTGTGAAGACAGCACAACAAGCCAGTGACCCAGAGTAATGAGGCAGAGGAGAGGGCGGCCTTCCTCAGAACGGCCACTGGGCTATTTATGTTGCATCGACGAAGGAGCCCAGAGGTCCACTGGGCTGGCGTGGAGCTGGGAGGAGGGGGAGACGAGTGGGGCCATACGCCAAAGGGAAGCTCTTGATTTTTTGTCCAATTTCAGTGGCAAGCCACTGAAAGGTTTTAAGATGGAGTGACACAGTCTAATTCCTGTTTGAAAAGCCACTCTGACTGCGGTGTGGAGAGTGTAGCACTATGAGGAGGGACAAGAGCAGACACTGCCTTCCTCCCCAGGAAGAACACATGCTCCTGCTCCCATTCGCTCCTGCTCCAGTGAGAAAAGACGACTCACCCTCCTCTACCCCATTGGCCAATGACGGGCCTATCCTTCACCCCCAGACCCCCAAGATTGCTGTAGCCGGTGTAGGAAACACCCGTGGGCAGTCCTCGTGCTCTGCAGACTCTGGGACAGCAGAGAAGAGTGGGATGGACCCCTTCTCATGCAGTCTCCCTGGACGTCTGGGTCCTGAAGCCCTGCACACCATCCAACGCGCTTCTGTCTCCCTCTCTGGACGGAGCCCTGAGGGCGGAGGGCACAAATCCTTGTCTGTCTTTGGTTGTCCAAGGAGCCTAGCAGGGTCTGGCACGTACCCTGGGTCTGGCTCAGTGAGCATCCCATACCTTAAATTACGTTGGGGAAGGTCCTCGCTCGAGTCCAGTCTTGGTGTGGGGAGCTCTTTATAAACGTCCTTCTGTGTGACCAAGGAGCCCTCCCTGAGGCACCCGCTTCGTCTCTGGGCTCAGGCCCAAGACTGAGAATACGGGTGTGGCAGCATCCATGGGAGTTCCACCTTCTGAGGCCGAAAAGCCCAATGAGACTGTGGAAGGGATTTCCTGTGTGTTTCTGGCATAAAATGTGAAACCTACAGCTTCAATAACCTGAATATCCATTTGTGTCTTTAATAGATGGACAATGAACGGAATTCCAATACCTCCAAGCAGAGATACTCGGGGAAGGTCCACTTGTGTGTCGCCCGCTACAGGTAAGAGCGAGGCTCCTCTCTGCACCTCTGAGCCCCCGTGAGCGCAGGAGGCCTTGGGCATGTGAGGCGATGGGTCTGGGAACCCTCCATGAGCTGAGGATGTGCCTTCTCCTGGGCAGTTCAGCCAGCTTTGGAGGATGACAAGAGTTTGGCTGTTCTGATGGAAAGAGTTTGGATAGCGTATTAGTTTCCAGGGCTGCCATAACAAATCATCTAAAGTAGGTGTTTTAAAACAACAGAATTTATTCTCTCACAGTTCTGGAGGCCAGAGGTCAGGATCAAGGTGTCAGCAGGGCCGTGCTCCCTGAGGGCTCCAGGGTAGGTTCCTTCCTCCTCTCTTCCAGCTTCTGGTGCCTCCAGGCCCCCGTGGTTATAGACACATCGCTCCAATCTCTGCCTCTGTCTTCGCAGGCCCTCTCCCCTGTGTGTCTCTTTTATAAGGACACCAGCCACTGGATTAGGGCCCACCTCACTTCAGGGTGACCCCATCTTGTCTTGATTCCATCTGCAAAGACCCTATTTCCAAATAAGGTCGCATACACAGGTACTGGGAGTTAGGACTTGAACATGTCTTTTGGGGGACACGTTCAACCCACGACAGGTGGCTGAAACTCAGAGGGGCCCTCTTGCCCAGAGCCTCCCGTTTGGAGCCTTTCCGGCACGCTGCTGTCTGTCCAGGGCCCGGGCTCCACCGCAGCGTTACAACCGACAACTCATCTCTCCTTGGAGGCCCTTCGGTATCCCTGCTCAGTGAGAACTAATGAGCCAATCTGGTCATGCGCGACTCTTGGATTCTTTATGGTAGTCGTCAAAAAATTCAAGCCGGCTGAGAATTAGCCGCCCCCCACAACTTCACTACCTGGTTATCATGAAACGAGCCTCAGACCACATTCTGCCGTACGGAGACGTTTATGAATTAAATAGTCGCAAACGAGCAGACACGAAACAGTTCAGACCTGGTCTTTACGCTCAATGAAGACGCAGACCTCTGTCCTTCTAGACACTCCAATGACTCTTTGCACGCCAGGTTGGCCCGAGGCAAGCACGGCGATATTCTAGAGGCACGTGCATTGTCCTCTTGATTGGCATTTGGCAGCCAGAGTCCCCCAGCCGGTGGCTGCGCTGGGAAGTGTTTAGGACTCACACTGCAGGGGCCGTTCCCAAGGGCGTGGATGCCACCCTCCTAGACCCTTAAACTTTGTTCACGCAGTGGGGGAGTGAGCTTAATCTTGGCCAACCCATCCACCTTCAACACCTTTTTTCTCCAAGAACTGTTTCCAATAGCCACTACACTGATGAGTGGATTATTTTCTACTGATTGTCATGCGCTGAGGTCATCGATGAAAACGCACTTCCGACGTTCAGATAACGGAAGCACGGGAGCAGCTGCCCCTGGGCCGCGGGCTTCCTGAGTAGGATGCCAGCTGAGCCCTGACCTGAGTGCTGTCTGCACCCACATGCACGTCCGCCACACTGTCCGTGGGGACACAGCCACGGCGCTGGGAGAGATGTGAGGCCACAGTCAGCGGGGCCTGAGGAGGAGGGCCCAGTCCCTCCCTGTGTCTGAGAGGAGAGCGGCTCTTTTTTTTTTTTTTCTGTCTGTGGGTCAGAAGGGAGCACGGCCACTCAGGCAGAGCCCTCAATGCTGCAAATGAGGGCAATGGCCGGGATGCTGAACTAGTTTGTTTTTCTAGCCAAGCTGGGCCCTAGTGAACCACACCCCCTCCCTTCCCAGCGGTGTGCCCGGTCCCTTGGAGCTGCGCTGTGCGGTATGCAGGGCCAACTGCAGAGTGCCCGCTGGGCTCACAGTGCCTGCACTGTCGTGGAGAGGGACGGCTTGTCCTGGAGACAGAGGCCCAAGAGCTAGCGCACCCTGAGGACAGATTCCACAGCCAGTGTGACACCAGGCAAAGAGAGCACTATTCACCACGAGTTGACGGGGTCTCCCTCCTCCGCACACCCATCACCTCCCCTGGACCCCTGCTTAGCAACCGTATCCACATCCACTCTCCCTGAAGCCAGAGAGCTTTGAGTCATGCTGGACCCTGGACCCTCACCCTTATGTCCAGACAATCCCCGTTTCCATTACCTCCGAAGTCACCCTCTAATCCAGCGTCTTCGTCCACCTCCTCTGCCAGCCCCCCGTCCACATCGTACCCAGAGAGATGTCTTTGTAAAGTGCAAACGTGATCATGTCATGCCCTAACTTAACACTCCTTCATGACACCTCACAGCTCTGGAGATTAAATCCACACTGATCTGGACCCTGCCAACCCTCATGTCTCAATGTTCCTGCCTTCCCCGATCCTTCTCCAACAGGCTGGCCCCTCAGCTCCCCAAAGGGACCCTGCTCCCTGCCTCCAGGCCTTTGTCCACGCCATTCCTTCTACCAGGAACAGGTTTCCCACTTCACTCACCCCTGGCTTTCACCTTATAGGTCCATCTGTGTTCACGCCTTATGCCAGTTGCCCCTGGCAACGACTGACTTGGTGGAACCATCAGATGGTTGGATGGCGTTCCTAGACCTCTGGCTGTGGACCATGAGGGACAGAGCGACTCGGCGTGGTTAAACCTGACAGACGGGGCCAGGAGGCCTTAACTCTGGTCCACGCCCACCACATAGTGATCCTGTGACCTTGGGCTAGTCCTCCCACTTCCCTCGGTTATTAAAGTTGGCAATAATAATACCTTCTTCTCTTCCCTCACTGAGAGTCAGCGGTGATCCAAAAAACATGTACATGAAAGTGTCAGTGCACTTCATGGTGCTGCTGGTGTGGGTCATTGTGGTGTGGTTATTATCGTTCTACAGGGCATGGCTGTCATCTCCGACCATCAGTAATGTTATTTGAATTTTCTTGCTGAGGGCTTTTCTCTTATTTTAAATTAATAAATCTTTTCATTAGAAAATCCAAAATTCACCTAACAAATGTTTTATTTGCAAGCTGGACATGACTTTAAAAAATGTTAATTCCCATATTTGGAGGACTTGAGAATGTGGACACTTTTATACTCCTAAGGGGAGGGGAAGGTAAAACAGTGCATCATTTTTCAGGGCATTTTGGCAGTATGTACAAGACCTTAAAATGTGCATGCTTTGACCAAACAAATATACTTCCTAGGGATTTGTCTTTAGGAAAAAAGTGTGGAAGTGTGCAAAGATATGTTTATAAGGATGTTTGATGCAACACTGATTATGTTAGCCAAAAGTTAGAAGCAACGTCAATGCCTCACATCAGGAAATTGGGTAAATAAAGTATGTCAACCTATTCAGTGGAATATTATACATCCATTAAAAAGGATATGATAGAATATTTCATGAAGTGAAAAGATAGTCCTGCCATATTGCAAAGTGTAAGAAATAAGCAGATTAGTAAATAGTATATATAATATGATTTTACCTTCACTAAATAATACATATTGAAAGATCAGAGAGTTAATTTTCTTGTTTACTTATTAATTTGGAAATTTCTAGTCATGGTAGAAGTGACAGGTGTGAACAGAAGTATCAGAATCGTAAACATGTCATCTAATAGGAAAGGCTCTGAGTTTTCAACTTGGTTTCAGAATTTTCTTTTTGTTTTGCATCTGTGAGCAAGGCAGCAATGGCCTGAATTCTCAGAGGGCAGAGGACTCGTTCGCACTGAACCATCGTGTGGGTCTGCAATTTCCCAGTAAGAGGAGACAGGAGCCTCGTGCCAGGCCCGCACTCTGCGAGGGAAGGGCCAGGATCTGTCTCCATCGAGCGCATCTCCTGAATGAATCTTGTTTCTTCCTCTAGTTACAACCCCTTCGATGGGCCAAATGAGAACCCAGAAGCCGAGCTGCCCCTCACGGCGGGGAAATACCTCTATGTCTATGGGGACATGGATGAGGATGGCTTCTATGAAGGTCTGTGAGGGTGTGGGGGGTGGTCGGTGCACACGGGGCCGCTCCACCCACCAGACTAATTTGTCCAGGGGCCCCATAGACAGGCCAGGTTCCCAAATCACTTCTGGCCGCCCCAGTCCTCTGCTCTGACCCTCCTGCTTGCCAGAGTTATGGGGTTTCCCCTTTCTGATGATGAGTGGGATTTCCTATATTCAACTCCAAGCAGACCTCTGCCCCTCGGGGGATATTTTATAACGTTAGTCTCTGCAGAGCTTCCCGGCACGCGGGGTTGACGGACCCTCTTGTTCCCAAAACGTCTCTCCTCCCCCTCCATCTTCTGCCCAGCAGCCTCGGGTCTCCAGCCCACGTCCTCTCCAGCAGCGCCAAGGTGCCTTCCAGGTGCCTCACCTGGCTCAGCGCCATCCCACTGACCTTCAGCTTCTGTTGTTCGCTTAGGGTGGTCTGGCCCCACGTCTTCACAGCCACCGCCCACAATCCGAAATCAGAAAGTGTGAACCCCCCCCGAAGTGCCGACCTTTTGTCACCTTTTTAGCTTGAGGATGAGCGTGTGACGGTACAGCAGCTTCGTAAATCAAGATCCCTCAGTTGCCTAAGCTCTTCAGTTGCCCCGTAGAGATAACAGGGTCTTGGTTTCTTCCCGGTTCCCCCCGAGCAGAGGACTAATTCTTGCTGAATCAGCAGGTTTCTCTCCCATGACCTTAGGAAGTCTTCTTAGAGCTGACGATGTCCCTCAGCCCTCGTCCTGGGTGATCTTGGGTGTGAGGTCCAGCCGCCCTCGGGGATGCTCAGGAGCCTGTGGGCTGAGCCACTTCCCGTCAGTTCCCAGGAGTGTTGTCAGGGGCTGTGGATCCTCCACCGGGAAGTTTCACCACGACTGGTGGCAAAAGAGTTTGAACTTTTAACATAAATTCACATTACTTTCACTGGTTTTCACACCAGTGTAGAAATATGTGCCCAAGGCAGCTGCCAGAAAACCCTCACTGGAAATGTCTAGAACGTTTACATCAGGCTTTGGTGCCCACGTAAGCTTCCCAGAGGCCTGATCACACACAGGCTGCCAAGCTCAGAGTCCCATTGTCCGTCTGACAGCAGGAATCTTTACTTAACCTCCCCGTGCCTCAGTTTCCCTGGCTGTAGCATGGAGACAGTGGTAGTTCTCACCTTGTGGGGTGGCTGTGAGGATAAACGAGCTCATAGGTACGAACAGGTCAGAACAGGGCCTGGTACACAGTAGTCGCTCAATAAATGCTAGTCATCGCACCATCATCCCCATCATCTCCCTTGTGTGGAAAGGAGGCTGTATTTATTGAACATCCTCGAGGTGAAGAGTCACTGTCTCAGGACCCACTCCCTAGGTGGGGTCGGGAGCAGAGTCAGAGGCTTTGTTCCTTCTGGTGGGATACAGGGTGGATTAAATGGCTGCATCCTCCCCCGGGCCAGTCGCATAGCCCCTGAGTCAGGGGTCTTTGGGAGCAGACCATAATGCTCAGCTCTTCCCAGCCTCCCTGAGTCCCTTAGCCTCCTTCAAGCTGTCCCTCTGCGGACACCCTGCGATGTGGCGGGGACGGGGCCCTTGCCTGCTTGTGCTGGAAGATTACTCAAACTTCGTCATCTTTGAAGCTCCTCCAATGTTTCTCAGTTTCCGGGGCCACTGCTGTTAGCAGGCTTTCGAGCCCTGCTAGCAATGAGAACACACAGAAGTTAGGCCATTTCACGAAATAAAGAGGGGTCCCCACTGTGACTACCTGTTGCCACAAGAACTGGTTTGATGGCATCTTTTTGCCACTTAACTTACAGGTGGTTCCGGCACCAAATTGATAGTCTGGTTTCACCCCCAGTGGACACGTCGGGAACTTCATTAAGATGGACACAGTGCTTTGCAAGGGGGAAAGTCACCTTTAATCCCTATTCGTGTGATCCCCCAATCAAAAATAATAATGAGACGTTGACTTTTTTAACCTCCGAAACCCACGTATTTACATGTTTGTTCGTCCTTCTAACAAACATTAACCAAGCACCTACTGTGTGCCCGATGTCGCTCTAGGACGGTCCGTTGTGGTGACAAAGGTCCCCGCCCCCGTGGGCGTTACCCCAGCTGGGAGGGCTCGTCGACACAGGCAGATAGGTGAACACGGAAGTTTCAGATTGCGGAGAGCACCATGGAGAAAACCAGATGAACTGATGGGGGGTGAGGCAGACGGCAAGAACGGGGTGCACGTCATGGGGGCGAGGCCCTGAGGAGGTGACGTGAGCGGATTCCTGGAAAGAGCTGAGGAATCCCACTGTACCCGAGCGGCTTTCCCGCATGGCCCATCAGAGAGAGGTGCAGAGTCTGCTCCAGGACTCAGGGCCCAAGGGGGCGGTTGGGGGATAACGCTGTCCCTCTACCCTACAGGCGAACTCCTGGACGGGCAGAGGGGTCTGGTGCCCTCCAACTTTGTGGATTTTGTCCAGGACAACGAGTCGAGACTGGCAAGTGTGCTGGGAAACGAGCAGGATCAGAATTTCATCAACCATTCCGGCTTCGGCGTGGAGGGGGAGCGCATCTTCGACCTCCACTCCCCCACTCAGACGGACTCCGTCACCGACAACGGCGCGGGGACGCTGGATGTGAACATCGACGACATTGGAGAAGACATCGTGCCTTACCCTAGAAAAATCACCCTTATCAAACAACTCGCCAAAAGTGTCATTGTGGGCTGGGAGCCCCCCGCAGTGCCGCCGGGGTGGGGGGCGGTGAGCAGCTACGCCGTGCTGGTGGACGGGGAGGCGCGCCTGAGCCTCACGCTGGGCGGCAGAACTAAGGCCCTCGTCGAGAAGCTCGACATGGCGGCCTGCACCTACCGCATCTCCGTGCAGTGCGTGACGAGCAGGGGCAGCTCGGACGGGCTGCGGTGCACGCTGCTGGTGGGCAAGGACGTGGTGGTGGCCCCTTCGCACCTGCGGGTGGACAACATCACGCAGATCTCCGCCCAGCTGTCCTGGCTGCCCACCAACAGCAACTACAGCCACGTGATCTTCCTCAACGAGGAGGAGTTTGACATCGTCAAGGCCGCGAGGTACAAGTACCAGTTCTTTAACCTCAGGCCCAACATGGCCTACAGGGTGAAGGTTCTGGCCAAACCCCACCAGATGCCGTGGCAGCTGCCTCTGGAGCAGCGGGAGAAGAAGGAGGCCTTCGTGGAGTTCTCCACGCTGCCCGCAGGTGAGCCCATCCTTCCGGGGGCCCCAAGGGAGAGAAGGGGGTGGGAGGGAGCAGGGGGGAACACTGCAGGCAGCCACCATTTCCCTGGAAAATGCCTTCAATCACCCAGGAAGCGTGGAATATGGGCGCGCGCGCACGCATGAGAGGGAAAGAATACTTGGATTTTGTTTAGGGGCCGTGTTGTTGAAAATATTTCTTTTCACACCTGCATCTGCAAGAGGCTCATCCTACAAAAGACGGGGAAAATGAGACCATCCTGGGTGACTCGGCGTCCTCTCCCAGCCATGGGAGAGTGAGTGAAGCGCCCACGCTCCTTCCAGAATTGCTCCTTCTCCCTCTCCCATGTGGGCGGATTTGAGAGAAGACAGGGAGTCCCATTGTCCACGCTGTTCTGGGTCTGGGCACATCTCCTACGTAGACCGCCGGCTCCTTCTCGGCGTTCTCCGCTGTAACAGGAGGGGCGATGGGCTCCCTTGCCTTCCCTTCCCACACATGCTCCCGGGAGACTGTGAGGAGACGGGATGAGGGGGACGAGCCTGCTCGGCCTGCTTGTCCTTTGATTTATCAGAATCCCAGTGCTAAGGGGCAGCTACCACCTGGACCCACAGAAATTCCTGTCGTGCTGATCTTTGCTGGGTGCACACACAAGGTGGCCCTTCTGAGCGGGTCAGCTGTGCCAGGATGGGGGCCCCAACATCGGGGGAAGAGTAGCCTCCTTGGCAAATATTTGAGGGCATGCTATGTGACCTCTAGGCTGCCTCAGTCCTGGGACAGTCACATAATTCCCTTGACAAGCCTGTCTTGATGCTCTCCTTGCTGGATTTCTCTTCTATTAACCCAGCCCTGCCCATCCTCATTTCTCAGCAGGTTCACAAACAATCCAGTCGTCCTCCGGGATCATTTTTACCAACCGCATAAGGTCTTCCGCAGGATTGGCTTCTCAATTCATGACGGATTCAGTTTTTCTTTCATTGAGCTCTCCATTATTCGAGAAATCCATAATCACCAGAGTCTGACCCACAAGGCAGGAAGGTCAAGGGTGGGTGGGACAGCACTGCTTTAAGGAGAGGAGCGTCTGGGTAGGAACTAATTTATAAAGGGTCAACTTATCCATGTTCTGCAACGACTTTTGGTCTCCTGCCTGACCACCGGGATGTCAGTCATGATACTGGGATACTGAGGACCCTCCTTCCACTGCTGCCTCCTGTGAAGTCTTGTGATCGGTGCTGGGGGTGAAGAAATGAGGGGCACCAACCACAGGGACTGCCAGGGACTCCGAGGAGAGATGAGCACATCCACTGGGACAGTCGGGAAGGGCTTCCTGAGAAGCTCACGTTGAGACGGAGGGGAGTGGGGATCCGGGAGAAGACGCCGAGCTCAGGGCATGTTCCCGTAGGCTGACTCCCAGTGATGGGGTATCCTAGTCCACTGGGGCTGCTACAAAAAATGACCATAAACTGGGGGCTCCAACAACAGACATTGATTCCTCACAGCTCTGGAGGCTTGAAGTCCAAGATCAAGGTGCCTGCAGACTCGCTGTCTGGTGAGGCCCACTTCCTGGTTCATAGATGGCATCTTCTCGCCGTGTCATTTCATGGCGGGAGGGCTGAGGGGCCCCTGTCCTTGTTCCATAGCAGGCTATTTCCACTGCCTGCCCAGAGGAGGAGGATCTGGACTGTGGGTGGGGAAACCAGTGGAGGGAATGGGGGGAGCTTCCCTGGGAGGAGAGGAGAGGGGCAGCCTCGTGATCCTAGCTCCATCTGGACTCGGGTGTCGGGGGGTGCTGCACTGAGGGCCCCGCATGGTGACCTCAGAGCATGTCCCAGGTCAGCCGTCTCTGCGCCCGTGTGGAGAGACGGGCTACAGCTGGCAGAGCAGCGCTCCCCGAGTCCTCCTTCACCCGCAGAGCCCTGGCCCTCTGCTGTGGCCTCACTTCACCGCAGAGGGGTGGGAGAGAAGTCCCAGACCAGGTTCAGTGCTTGACCTTTGCCCTTAAGGATACTGAGGGACTGTGTTGTATTTAATGGAACTGTCCGGGCAGAATTTAACCTCTGAGCCGGGCTGTGAAGAGGTTCTAAAGACCTTTATCACAGCTCATTATCAAGAGTGGGGTCGATGTGCCGTTGGCAGTGGGCTACAGGCTCGTGCTGGGGTGAATGCTGCTTCCCGCATGTAGGAGCTGAGTGACTTCCCTCAGTGTCCCCCTGTGCACAGTGGGGATGTGTTGAGACCACAGGATGGAGTGAGGATCAGCAAGATGAGGTATGAGAGTGAGCAGAAGGCTCGGCACACAGAAACTCTCAGTGAGCAGATCCCTAGAGATCTGGAGCCAGGGGCTTCAGCCAGGCCATGGGGCGTGTCAAGCCTTCCCTCAAGGTTATAAACATGTTCCTTCCAGATAAAATGCTGTGTCCTTCCAAGCAGGTGGATGTGGGGAGCCGTGCACAGACCTAGAGGAAAGGGGCCCACCGTGGGCTCAGTGCAGAATGGGTCCTGCTGTCACCACGTCACCAGTGACATGAGCCCTGCCTCCTTGTTGCTTAAATCAGCTGCTCAAGACTTTCTCTCGGAGGGTCCAGCCAGCACAGTTCCAACCGGGTTAGGCACAAAAGGAAGCATGTCTGCGGGTGCAGCTGGAAAGTCCGTGTGCAGAGCTGGATTCTCAGGTTCAAAGGGCCTCATCAGGGCCCGTCTCTCTCCATCTCCCACCAGGTGGCAAGATGGGTGCTCTGCGGTCCAGGCTCACGTCCTCTTAAGTCCAGTGAGGGGAGGGAGAGAGAGAGAGAGAGAGAGGGACAGAGAGTAGGTGGAAAGAGGAATGGGGGAGCAGGAGAGGAGGGGAGAGGTGGAGGGAGGGTTCTCTTTTCTCTGCCAAACGCTGGGATCTCCTTGGCCCGTCCTGAACCGATCACGGGGCTGACTGGCCAAGCCTGAGTCACAGGCTGGCCTGGAGACGGGTCCAGGTAGCTCTGTCCCATCGCACAGGCTGAGAGCCAGGGAGCAGGTGGTTCCGGAAGCGACAATGAATGCCGAGGTTAAGGTAACCGTACGGCGTCGTATCCCAGGAGTTGCTGCTTTCCCTCGCTCTTTCTGCTTTGCTTCCACACTTCGTAATCTCACTTCCTTGCCCTGGTGACTTTAACGCGTGACGCGTGACTCCGTTTCCAGGTGAGACCAGCCAAAAGGCCATGCCGTGAAACTTCTCTGCCTTCTGTCCCCCCTAGGTCCTCCTGCCCCCCCACAAGATGTCACTGTCCAAGCTGGGGCCACCTCGGCCAGCGTGCAGGTCTCCTGGAAGCCGCCCACTCTGACGACCACCGGGCTGTCCAACGGAGCCGACGTCACGGGCTACGGCGTGTATGCAAAGGGACACAGGGTGAGTTTTTGTTGGGGGGGTGCACCCAGGACTGACCTGACACCAGCTCAGTGTGGAGTTGACTACTGGAAGCGTCTCCTCTCCCTACTCGATCCCCGAGATCCACCAGCACTTATTAAACACCACCTACACCGCCACCCCAGGGCCCGGCCACAGAATGCGGGGAACCCCCGTCCATTTTTGTCCTCCCTCCTTCCAGAATTCTCACTGCCTCCCTCCCACTCTGATTATCTGCCCTGCTCTGGACGTTTCTTGTTCTCCTCCTCCCAGTATTAAAAGTCCACCAAAGTCTTGAGTCCCACAATACCAGAGCCCCTCAAGACATGACTGGCTTGTGAATTCCAACAAACTGATTCTTGGCAAGATGGTATTAATGCCCAAGGGGAGCCCTCCTGGGAAACCCTGCAGGGTCTGCACATCGACAAATGGCCGGCCTTGACTCTGAGAAACAAGCCTGTCCTTATGCTGACTGTAGGGAAACCCATAATCTCAGCCCCCATCCCTGTCCTGGAACATGAAATAGACGCAGCTGCCTTTGGGGAGGGCTTGGGGAGGCTCCTGTCTGTCCTCCACCTTCCCCACCCCGTTCCCCACAAGGAGCAAGGGGTGAGGTATCAGATAGACAGATGTGAGTATCTGAGCTACCTCCTGCTCTCTCTGTGAGAGCTCCTCCTGCAGGTGCACGACTCCCCTCTTGCCCCCCTCCTCCTGCAGGTGCACGACTCCCCTCTTGACCCCTCCTCCTGCAGGTGCATGACTGCCCCCTGCTCCCCACTCCGTGTGGGAAGCCCGCACAGGCCCTGCTGGTACAGAAGAGGCTGCAGTCCTGTCCTCTCCACTGCAGTAGGAAGCCCAGTTTGGCCTCTGCCTCGCCCCTTCCCTCCACCCAGCTTTGGCAGTAATAAACCTTATGTGTGGTCCCTCTGCAGCCCTGCATCTCTTTCTGAGTTGGTGCTGAACATGGAAGAAAAGGGGTGTGCTTAATTGGCCCTTCCAAATCCCAAAGCTGGGCAGATCCTGGGGTGGCAGTCCTCCCCCCAGCCCGGCCCCTCTCTGAGACTTATCTGATTCCCAGGCTGTGCAGCGTGGTTTGAGTCGGATGTAGTTGGGGCCCCAGTCCCTGGTCAGGAGAGGCAATCCCAGGGCTGGCCTCTCCCATTTCACGGGTGCAGGGAGAGGAGCTGCCCGCCATGCCCAGGGCGGCCTGTGAGCTGGCTCTCTCTGTGCACAGGTGGCTGAGGTCATCGCCCCCACGGCGGATGGCACAGCCGTGGAGCTGGTGCGGCTGCGGAGCCTGGAAGCCAAGTGTGTGACCGTGCGGACCCTCTCCGCACAGGGCGAGTCCATAGACTCTGTGGTTGCTGCCATTCCCGCCGACCTCCTCGTGCCTCCAACCCCCCACCCGAGAACTGCTCCCACACCGAAGCCATTAGCAAGTGCTGGAGCCCCCGATACCAAAGATGAACACCTGGGTCCCCACGTCAGAGTGGACGAGGCCTGGGAGCAGAGTCGGGCGCCTGCCCCGGCCCACGGGCACATGCTGGAAGCGCCCAGCCTACAGGGCCCGGGCCCAGGGAGGCGGTCGCCCTCGCCCAGCCGGATCCTCCCGCAGCCGCAGGGGGCCCCAGTTTCCACCTCCGTCGCCAAGGCCATGGCCCGGGAAGCTGCGCAGAGAGTGGCCGAAAGCAGCAGGGTAAGGCTGGGTTTTTCCTCGTTGGTTCCACTGCTCCTGGAATGCATTCCGTCCCTGCAGCCCAGCTGGGATGGAACATTCCGGCAACACCCGCGAGTCTGCAGAGAGAAGCGCTCGGAACACTCAGAGCCACTGCCTCGACTTGGAAGGAAGGATGCCACGTGTGTCCTTCACCCTCCCCTTGGGCTGCATTTAGGCCTGATCCTGATGGAATCAAAATGCTGGGTTTGGGCCGGCCCCGTGGCTTAGCGGTTAAGTGTGCGCGCTCCGCTACTGGCGGCCCGGGTTCGGATCCCGGGCGCGCACCGACGCACCGCTTCTCCCGCCATGCTGAGGCTGCGTTCCACGTACAGCAACTAGAAGGATGTGCGACTATGACATACAACTATCTACTGGGGCTTTGGGGGAAAAAAAAGGAGGAGGATTGGCGTAGATGTTAGCTCAGAGCTTGTCTTCCTCAGCAAAAAGAGGAAGATTAGCATGGATGTTAGCTCAGGGCTGATCTTCCTCACAAAAAAAAAAAAAAATGCTGGGTTTTTTGCAAATATGGACCCAGACAATCAGAGGAAATGGTTATCTACCAAACTGGCTTAGAAAATGGGGGTGAATAACCCACCAACCAGGCTTTGGTCTGTCAGGGATCTGAAAGGGGCCTTCTGGAGTCGGCTTGGGGACCCATGTTCCTAAAGCAGGCACACCTCCTGGCTCTGCTCACTTCAGGGTTCTGTGTGTGTGTACACACACACACACACACACATCTAGATATATCTACATACATGTATACATACCCACATACATACACATATAGACATACGTACACATAAATATATTTGCATGCCTGTTACTAGAAATTGTCTGGGCCGTGGGGAGAAGGCGTATTTAGATTATGGTGGGGCCATATTCCAGATGATATGGGCAACGAGACATGAGATTTTAAGAAACAGCTGTGAAGTTATGCCTGGGAGTTGGCGGGGAGCTGAGCTGGGCCAGGAGCCCTGCCCTGATGGGATAAATCCCCATCTCTTCCCGGGATGCATCCATCTACCAGGTGCCCAGCGTGTCTGCTGCGAGCCCGTGCTCAGGGCCCTGGGACAGGGACAGCAGTCCTCTCAGCCCCGGCTGGCTGGACTGCAGGGTCTCACCAGGACGTGACTCCTGGCAGCGCCTTCGCTGAGGTGCAAGTGGAGATGTCCGTGCCACTGCTGGGAGACAACTTCCTGGGCATCCCGGGGACTGGCGGCCGTGTCAGGGAAACTCGGTAGGGGCGCAGACCCTTAGAGGTCAGAGCTGAGTGACGCGGGCCACGTCCAGGACACCAGGAGGGATGTGAGCTGCAGTGACAGCGCTCCAGCACGTCTTGAAAAACTGGAAATCCAGGCTTTTATGTGATATCTCCTAATTTGGTCAATATTGGCCACTAATTCTTAAGGAAACAATTCAAGAGGCCAGCCCGGTGGTGCAGTGGTTAAGTTTGCACACTCCACTTTGGCGGCCCGGGGTTCGTGGGTTCAGATCCTGGATGCAGACCTATGCATCGCTCATCAAGCCATTCTGTGGCAGCGTCCCACATACAAAATAGAGGAAGATGGGCACGGATGTTAGCTCAGGGCCAATTTTCCTCAGCAAAAAAAAACAACAACAATTCAACACCAATTTGTGGCTTCTGACTAGAGGAAGTCCTTCAGAACATGCACATTTATGTTGGGCCCACTGCCCCACTGCTCTGATTTCCCACAAAGCAGAAACCCAGGCCCCAAACATCAGTGCTTGGGGCTTCAGGCCAAGCTCCAGGGGCAGGAAGGGCCTGGCAGGTGAGCACTGCCCCTCTCTGCTCCTTCCGATGGTAGCCACGCATCCTGCAACCCTAAGACCCCCAGAGTGGGCTGGAGCCAGAGACTGGGCCCAGGAAAGCCGGGGCTGCAGGGTCCTGGCCGGCCCACCTTCCAGAAGGTGTGGAGTGGAAGCAGATTCCTCTGAGATTCATTGTTGAAGAAAATGTTAATTGATGAGATTTAGAGCCAGGCCAAGGTGTCAAATGGAGGGAGACGAGAATGTCATTGGTGTCCGTAGGAACCCAGCACAGTCGAGAAATAGTTGTGGTAAGTGGGAGGGGACGGGAGGGGAGCAGCCTTGTCACAGCAGCCATATCAGAAAACCCGCCTGAGAGCCAGCGTGGTGGGTCATGTGACCCCGTCCCTCCACGAGGTGGCTCCAGGGGGCTGCAGGGTCCGAGAAGGAAAGGGTGGGGCCCAGGACACTGGAGCCTGGAGGCCTCCTTCCCCTCGGCCGCCGCCATGCCTGCCCCCCCACAGCCTCCCTCAGCCGTTTCTTCCCCTTCTCCTTCCAAGTTAGAGAAACGGAGCATCTTCCTGGAGAGGAGCAGCGGACAGTACACGAACTCCGACGAGGAGGACAGCTACGAGTCCCCGGAAGTCAGGAGGAGGGGCGCCTCGGTGGACGACTTCCTCAAGGGGTCCGAGCTCGGCAAGCCGGTGAGTGTGGGAGCTGAGCCCCGTCAGCCCCCAGTGTGGCCCCTTCGGCCCTAGTGTCCCATCCCTCAGCCCCTAATGTCCCCCCAGTCAGCCCCGAGTGTCCCCAGTCAGTCCCTAGTGTCCCCCCATCAGCCCTGTGTCCCCCAGTCAGCCCTGAGTGACCCCCATCAGCTTCGAGTGTCCCCCCGTCAGCCCCGGTGTCCCGTCCATCAGCCCCTAGCGTGGATGTCTCTGTACAGGCCTCTGGAGACCAGGAGACCCCCGGTCCATGAGCAAGACGAGGAGGGGCCAGGCCCGGCTACAGCCATCATGGTCGAGTTGGAAAGTGTAGATTTAATGATGCCTGTGCATTGGTGACCTCATGTGGGGCCAGTTTCAAAAGTGTAAATGTGACGCTTCCACCCTTCCTGCCTGCCCCATGCTGGTCATAGGGGCAATTTTGGGGCCAGGTAAATCCACAGACGACCACCTGGCCTCAATTTAGGCAGAACCTACCATTTGTGAATTCACTTTCATTGATCAGGCAAAGGTTTTGGACATCTGCTCTGTGCTAGGCATCATGGGAGATTCAGAAATCGAACGGCCAGCATCCTACACTCAGAGCACGTGTCAATGCTCGCCTTCCCAGACCAGGCTCATAAGTGACAAGTCCATCCAATGTGGGTGTGGTCTCCAATTTCTGGTCCTGCATAGTCTAATGGGAATGTCCTTGAATGGTGTCAAGGACTAATCCTGGACAACAGGAAGGGTAGGGCCTGGAGAGTCCTGAAGTCTTGGGACGTCAGAGCTGGAAGACACGTCAGACATTGGATCATCCAGTCCCCTCAGCACATGCTTCTACAGCAGGGCAGTGTCATGGCCTCAGTAAGAAGGCAGCTCACAGACTTGGAATCACATCCTGGCTCTGCCGCTGCCAGCTGTGGCACCGTAGGCAAGTTACCTGACTTCTTTATCGTAAGATTAAAACAATTCTATCTGCATTAATTTTAACAAAAGAAATGGAATGCCCAACTAGTAATGAGTAAGACAATGAAGACAGGTAATTAGCCCACGTCACAGGAAGGCTCAGGTGGGAGGTTGCAAGGTTGATTCCGCTGCTCAATCGTGTCCAGGCTCTGGGTTCTGAACCTTCCATTCTTTTGGCCTTTTATGGTTACAGAGTGGCTGCCATTGCTCCAATAATTATACCCTCATATGACAGCACCCCAAGAATGAAGGAAGAGATGGATGAAAAAAGGAGGGGGCTTTGTCCTCAGGCACTTTTCTCTTAGCTGGGAGAAAAATCTTTTCCAGAAGCTCCATCAGACTTCCCACTACATCTCAGTAGGCAGACCAGGGTCACAAGCCCACCACCAAGAGAGGATTAGGATTCCTATGAATGGCTTGTCAATGATGTCTCTGGCAAAAAAAAGAGGCCTCCTTCCATCCCATGAGTTTGTCCCTAACTCATCCCTGGGTTTGAATCAATGGACTGTTCTCATCGGGGAGAGCTTTCCCATAAGCATCAGGAAGACCTCAATAAAAGACGTCTGATCTTTGTTTATTCATTTAAAACCAATTCCCTTTTATGCTTCTGCTTGGCGCCTGATTGAAAGAACTAGGGCCGGACTAGCTCAAACGCTGACACAGCAGCCGCTGAGGCCGAGAACGTTCCAGCCTCTCTCGCCGGGCAGCTCAGGCGGAGCCTTCTGCCTGGTGCGTCACACTGCCTCCTCCTCAGCGGCGTGAACTTAATGTGACTAGCAGTGCTTATGCGTCCTCATCTAGGGCAGTCATCAAAACCAGCGTGTTTTTAATAAATATGTCGCGGGATGCTATTAGATACATCTGTCATGTCGCCCACCAGGAAAATAAAGAAACTGCTCTTAGTCAACACCATCCAGCAAAGACAGAGCATCTTTATGGGTGTTTTTCCCTCATAAATCTGAGCTCGTCAGGGTGTGCAATTTGATCTGTGGCACCTTTATTTTGCTTTAAATACTCGAGATATTGGATGACGGAGCACTTTCCTTGTACGTGAGGACGTGGCTGCTAAGTTGACATGGCACCATCACTGCAGGCCCCCATCAGGGCTGTTGGCATCTCGGTGTGCGTGGTGCCAAGTGTACTCAACTTGGGGGGAGGTCGTCATGTTTCATCGCCAGTAAGAGGTCAGCTGGTATCCACATCATGAATTTGATATCCCTAGCTTTCAAATTCTATAATATCTCCTCTTAATTTTAAAGGCGGCTTTCCTGTTAAACCTTTACACTGTCCCAGCCTCTTCCCTGGGTCCCTCCCCAATGGCACCGTTTCCTTCTGGTGTCGGTGACCAAGCTGGGCACAGAGTGCACACAGCCCTCACAGGGGTTCCACCTCCTGCCCGGACTAGGCTGTTCTCCAGACAACCCTGCACGTGTGTGTGTGTGTGTGTATTTTAGACTACCTGGTATTGTTTAAAATCTGAAATGCCTTTACATGGTGCATACACACCCACACTCCCGCGTCCCCACCCCTCTCCAGTGCGTGACCCTGGATCTGGTGTACACAGGACTGTGCTCTGCGCCCTTCTGCACTGAGTGTGCAACCTCTGGTGGAGCCTTTGTTCAGCCCCTCAGCTGGAGATGCTGGTGGCACCCAGAAAGTCATGTTTCCCCGTGTGTCTTACAAGTGGTGTTCCGTCCTGCCCAGGGCCCAGGGCCTCTGTGCCTGTTCCCGTCTGGGCTCAGCGTTGGGAGACCCTGTCTGGTCCTCCCGGTGCTTGATGAGCATGTGGACGTCTAGGCCCATTTCCTCACCTGTAATGTGGGAGCACACAGACACCCAGACTCGTCACGAGCTCACGAGGGAGCGAGGAAGGGAAGGGGCAGTGAGGAGGGCCTCGGGGCCTCCGCTATCTGGAGGAGCTCCACGGCCGAGAGACGCCCCTCCATCCGTGTCCCCTTTGCCTGCCCCCAGCCGCACTGTTGCCATGGAGACGAGTACCACACGGAGAGCAGCCGGGGGTCCGACCTCTCAGACATCATGGAGGAGGACGAGGAGGAGCTCTACTCCGAGATGCAGCTGGAAGACGGGGGCAGGCGGCGGCCCAGCGGCACCTCCCACAACGCCCTCAAGGTCAGTGGCGAGGGGCACCGGCTCCCTCCGCGTCCTCCCCGCAGCCGCCCCATCCCTGTCCCGTTGCTGGGGCTGTGGAGGCCGGCTCCAGAGGGGCCTGGCCCTGCCGTGGGAAGCCCACGGATTTGGACAGGCTGCTCTCTCACTGTTGAATTTGCATTCAGGAATCCCCTGAAGCCCTCCTCTTTGCCAAAAAGTATGGGTGAAGGAGTTTGGGAGAATGCATTTGGCACCCCCAGAGGACACCCAGCTCTGTACCAGGAACTGACTGACTGGGAGAGAACAGAACAGGGAAGCTCTCCCACCACACACACACACAC